ACATCAGTAGAGAACAGCCAAACACATGCTGATAAAAGTTTATAGAATATTAAGAATTTAAACAAATGTACACAGGAAGATTCGTCGTCTTTTGGGAGGTGATGGAAACTACAGTCGTTGGCAGGATCACTCTGATTTCGTTTTCAGCTTATGTTCAAAACAATCACGTTTAAGCCACTGAACTAGTTTAGTCCGGTTATACATACAACCGCGAACAGCACATGTTGTCCATGAGCTCCGTAACGACATCTCTCATAAAGATTTGCGTCTTTAAATAGTAAAATAATTCTCCGAAAAACAGCTAGCCTCTTCGCTAACTAACATACAAAATACCATTGGAATGCTACTTCCGCCGCCTCACCGGAAGTTTCACCCACTTTATTTTTTACAGGAGCGCCCCTCGGAAACTTGTGGATAGAGGGCAATAACCCAGACAGCAAACTGACATTGAATCAATGTGGAAACGACGTCTCTCATGACATTGAAACAACGTTGATTTTGCTCATCGAATTAACGTTGAACCAACGTCAGACGCGGCATTCTTCAAAGCTAAATGAAAATCGAAAATTGGTTTGCTTTCATAACGTTGAAACAACACGTTGATTTCAAGTTGATTTTCCGTTAGTTTTGAAAGAATGACGCGTCTGACGTTGGTTCAACGTTAATTCGATGAGCAAAACAATGTCAGATCAACGTTCGATGTCATATTTCCACGTTGATTCAATGTCAGTCTGCTATCTGGGAAATTAACCAGATCAAAGAGAGGGTCATTTGCCTACATGCTATTGCTAGCTTTTTTATTTACAATTAATTTCAACGTTTCCATTTATAGTGCAATTTGAAAAAGTCGGCCAGTCAGGAGGATCCACAAAAGCTGGGTAACGTTACTGCTGCCCATGATGGGCACTTGATGCAGTACGTTGCTCCAGCTTGGTCTCTCACGGAGAGACGGAGCCCAGTAAGCCCGCAGACTGCTCTCGCATCGATGGCCTGTCCCCGACATTATTTGACGGCTCTCCAGTCAAGCATCGGAGAGTCGACCTACAGCATACCAGTCGTCAAAGTTGCCATATTCTCCATAAATGTTAAAAGAAATAACGAAGTCGCTCATTGCTGTAGGCTATCTAACGTAGATGTTTGTTTTGATAGAGCGTTTGACTGCCTGTTGCTATGGTTACTCACAGCTGTTGTAGGCAGCGCATTTATTTAGAAATTTCGAATGGTAAACAGGCAGTTTCACCAGAACTACTTTACTACTTTACTACTGATTTTACTAGTGTCCTCTATCACTTTTTAACGGACACCCTGCAGCCAATCAGAATCGAGTATTCACCCAGACCATGGTATAATGTATCTCAGTTTCCATGTAAAAGAACACTATGCCCCATCCCATGTTCACTTTATATGTGTAATTCCAAATAATTTTGTTCGCAGTGGCAACAAACTCCAAAAAACTCAAAAAAGTGACAAAAAACTCCCGACAATGTAAGTTGTGGAAAATTGTAAGTAATCTAGGAGCTTTATTCAGCTTTTTACAGCGGATGCCATTGGAAACACGGTAAGACTATCCCTCACAGCCTCACTTTCATACCTGTCATGGCGCTGCTCTGAATAAGGTCTATGGGAGGCGGTATGCGGGCGAGCAACGTTACCACCAGCCAAACTGCAGTACACGAGTGAGTCGCGCTCGCGCCGGGGCTTGTGTTGTGTGTACTTGAACCTGATGTCAGTCGTGTGGAAAATACAGCCCACTACTACATTTCAGTTCAGGGAAGAGTTCAAAAAATAATTGGTCGATATTATGCATGAGGAATAAATTTTGGTAAGTTGTAACATACTGTATCTTTCAACAGTGTTCGTGTTCTTTTACCATTAGCTAGTAGAGATGATCGGTTCACGTGCGTTAGGGATCTGTTATGTAAAGCGCCAAAACTGTATTTATTGTTTGAATTGCGTAATAAAATGAACAGAATCTGAGAGCTGACATCGGTCTCCGTGTCCTTTTGCATGACAAAATTGATGTGTGGCGTGAGAGTGTGTGAAAAGTGTTGTGAGAGTTGGCAGCTCTGAAAGACGCTAGCTTGGTCCACATCAGGGAATGCTGTCTGTCAAATTAATTAAAACTAATGATAAAAATGCAATATGAACAAAACGAATATCATAAAACTAGAAATAATAGCCTGGGCTTTAATTTTCCCATATCGTCGAAATGCACCGACTTGTCTATGAGACGGCCTTTATAATTTAGTATTGAGATGTTGTTCATTTAGTCTCTAATCTGTAAAAATCTTCAAATGCTCCACGTGAAACTGCGGTCTTCCAACCTTTTACTATCTGTCAATTGATTTGATTAATATGCACGAGGGAGACAGAGCAACACAGCGCTCGCCCGTATTGTTTGAAGACATGAGAGTGTGCGTGGCCGTGGAGGTATTTCTGGAGGTATACTGCCCCCATCTGGTATGGAATATGTTGTATGATTTGATTTTAAATGCCAGAGGGCACCTTTAAAGTCCCTGTAAAGTCAAAATTAAGTCTGTGTTATGAGTTTGTCACACCACAGAAAAATGTGTTACTAGCCACCCAGCCAAATTTGAATGATAAAAAAAAAAACGGCAAGTACATAAAATAAGCTATCAAAATCTTGAAAAAAAAAGCAGTTAAAATTGATGTGTGGCGTAAGAGTGTGTGAAAAGTGTCAATTGTGTGTCTCACGGTGAATTTGAGTGTTGGCAGCTCTGACAGGCGCTAGCTTGGTCAACATCAGGGAATGCTGTCTGTCAAATTAATTCAAACTAATAGTAAAAATGTAATATGAACAAAACGAATACCATAAAACTTGAAATAATAGCCCGGGCTTTAATTTTCCCATATCGTCGAAATGCACTGGGTTGTCTATGAGACGGCCTTTATAATTTAGCATTGAGATGTTGTTCATTGAGTCTCTAATCTCTAAAAATCTCCAAATGCTCCACGTGAAACTGCGGTCTTACAACCTTTTACGATCGTGTCAAATGATTTGATTAATGTGCGCGATGGAGAGAGAGCAAGACAGCGCTTGCTCGTGTTGTTTGAAGACATGAGAGTGCGCCAAGGGGGTAATCCATCGACTGGAAGTTGAAGCCTCGCGGGAGCTGACATCTTGTAGCAGAACTTCACTTGCGTTAGCATTCCCATTGACTCCCATTCATTTTGGCGTCACTTTGACAGCGAATAACTTTACATCTGAGGCATTTGAAGACCCCATTTGTCCTTTATTTATTTCTAAAGAAACACAACAATGTATAAATAGCTCCATTACCTTGTAGCTTATGTTATGGCCCCGTAGAAGCAGTTTTAGTGAAAGTAAGCTAACGATTGCGTCATACCCACGCGACTCTCTGTCGCACAGTAGAGAGATTACCGTATGGACAGGAGAAGAAGCTTGCACGCAATCGGGGACAATGTATCGGCAAAATGACAAAATAATTAATCAGAATACCTAGCAAAATTGTCTCCTTCTCCTAGCTCATGGACAGCTCCTATTCACACTCTCTGCCTCTGCATGTTTCAGAAGGGAATGATTCAGATTTCTCATGCCACAGCACTAGAAGACAGATGGGTCACTCACGTCCCACTACGTAGTCAAGCTCTGTTTGAGTCTGCGCGTCAGGGACGGAAGTGCTAAAAAAAATCGCCAAAAACGGGCTTCAATCATCTCAATGGATTTCCAAAGTGATCGCTCTGTCCATTTCTTTTACTGTCTATGAAGTGCGCACGGCCGTGGCACAACTCACTTTCTGGAGGTATACTGCCCCATTCTGGTATGGAATATGGTGTATGTTCTGATTTTTTTTGTGCCAGATGGCACCTTTAAAGACTTTTAGTTTTAGACTTTTAGTTTTCAATCTGACCCAATAATCTAGGATTCAAGCGGCAACCTCCCTGTCCCTGAAACCAACACATAAGTGAATTAAACTGCAATTGACCAAATGCACAGCTGCACTACTTCCTGAACTTAAGCCAGCTCCTCCTGTCTGCTATTATTGGCCAAATTGATTAATTCAGGTGTGTTTGACCTCAGTAGTCACGGCAACAATAATCAGGCACACCTGAATTAATCAATTTAGCCAATAATGGCAGACAGGAAACAAGGAGCTGGCTTAAGTTCAGGAAGTAGTGCAGCTGTGCATAAAGCCCATTCTGACCGCTTGAGGCAGTCTACAAAAGTAAGTCAAAAAGTAAGTCAAATCTGCATCTCCCCCATGTTAAAATAGCTAGAATGTAACTCGACTATTGTCTCAATTGGCTTTATGCACAGCTTCACTACTTCCTGAATTTCAGCCAGCTCCTTGTTTCCTGTCTGTCATTATTGGACACATTGATTAATTCAGGTGTGCTTGACCTCAGTAGTCACGGCAACAATAATCAGACACACCTGAATTAATCAATTTTGCCCAATAATGGCAGACAGGAAACAAGGAGCTGGCTGAAGTTCAGGAAGTAGTGCAACTGTGCATAAAGTCAATTAGCCAAACCACTAACTCACACCATTTGTTGATGATCACACGTTAACGTGATTGTTTACTAGGTAGTTTGTGACGTCAGAAACGATTTATTTGAGACTTTGGTTCATTGCAAAAGAGAAAATACGCAGCAATGGTGTTGACTTGTGAATTTGCACATGGTTTGTCTTAAAGCATATTTTAAAAAGACCACATAGACATAAAACAACATTAACATTTTGATTTTTACCACAGGGGTACTTTAAGATGAAAGATTAGGGCACAAGAATTAATATAGTCTATACAAATAATATACCATACCAATTGTGACTTTAAGACTAGGTCTAGATTTCTCCAAAGCTTATATATTTTTTTCACTTATAATTTGCTTTGTTTCCTAAAAAGTTTAGTTCTATTACAGTTGGCAAACATCTAATAACCTCACACAAGACAACCTTCACCCACTTTGCAGGCTACATTTCACATCTGCACCGCATGAGGGCAGCATAACAAAGTCAGAAATACTCCCAGACAGCACTCCTCATGTAAATTGTGAAGGTTGTGTCAGCTTTCAATGGACTGTTCAAATTTGCTTTCGCTATCAGAATCATTTGTGAACGTCTAAGTGCAGATGCGGATGTTTAACAGTGAGGATGACGCGTTGTTCGGTTTGATAAAGTGTGTGAGGTAAGTGTCCTCATCCAGTTGTCACTGACAACACGACAGTCTCATGATGCTTTTGAAATGTCATTGTGCCTCAGTGAGTGGTCTGTTAGTTTTATCGTCTCAGGCGAGATGTGATATTTTTTCTTGTAGGAAAATGCTGAGAATATTTCTATTAGCTACTCATATCGAAGTTTATCTCTTTGTGGTTGACGACAGTTTATAGCCTAATGGCTAGCAGTCTGGAATAGCCTAGATTATTAAATACACACACTTTATTTAAACATTTAGCATATAGGATGTGATAGATGAAGTGATTTTGTGTAAATATTATTATTTTATGAGTGGTTTATGAAAGCACGCTTGTTTTGATAGCTCTCTCTTATAAAAACTCCTCAAAGGTGTGAATGCTAACCATGCTAACAGATTAGATTTGTCCATCTCTAAGCTTTGTAATATATCACACATTTGCGTAATTTGAGCAAAACCTAATCAATAATTTACTTGATTATAATTGTGCATACTCACAGCTGCTGAGCCTTGTTTGACTTTGTGGTGAAAGATCTGTCCATAGACAGTAAAAGAAAGGACAGGGGAACTGAAGGTGTAACGTTAGGCATTCAAAAACCCCATGTGTCAGTTCTAAATCTAAAAGCCCTGACAACTATTTAAACTAAATATGATATTATTATTAATATAGTTTTTTATTTTTTTTTATTTGAGCCATTGTAATTATATGTGATGATAATTAAAATGCTGACACTATTGTGTTACCCTGTCACTTCTTATTTTCATAATAACCATCACCTTTATCTGGACAAATTTTAATTGCTTTCTAAATTGCTAAACTCAAAAACTCAAGTTTGGGCAGAGCAATTGTATATACAAATAATAAACAATTAAATATAATTGGTTTTTGGAAAACATGCTTCTAAATATTTGCCATATATTGACAGCAGCCAAAATGTTTCGTTTAATGTCGGTTAGGCCTACATTTACTTTTACAGTAAATTCAACATTCTTTTTTCTATTTAATATTGTTTCTTTTTTTACTTTGTCTTTATTGTTTAATGTAATATATGTGTTGTAATATTATTTTGTTTATTGTATTAATTTATTTCATAGATATTTTTTTCCCTAGTACATTGTTGTACTTTTTAGTACATACATTTTTAGTATAGTTAGTTCTATATAGGACTACCACCCACCTAGAACAAATTAAATTAAAACAATGACAAAAAAAATACAAACAAATAAATAAATAATAAACATTGATTGACCATGAAAATTGTTACTGTTATACAAAGTACTATAACACTTTAGACAAAAGCGTCCCTCATTTATTTGTTGTAAATAAAGATGTGCAGATTTGTGTTTGTGTTCTGAATTGTGTTTCTTATTTCTCTCATTAGATGTTCATCATGACAGAAATGTGCTGACGTTTGTGCTCAGCAGTTTGGCAATAACATGTCATCCACCGAGGCTGCCAGGGAGTTTCAAGCTAAAGAGCGCAAATGCAGAAACCAGCTGAAGAAGCGACTGGCAAATGCTTTGTCAGGAGACCTGAACCGGTAATTGTCACCTTCAACATGAAAGACATTAGTTAGCTTTTTCAAAGCTTGTATGAATTTCTCATAGTAGCATAGAGCATCACTGTTGTGATATGACGCACTTTTAGCAATTAGTGTAGTCAAATCACGCCGACCTGCTTTAATGTTTGCACAGCTTATGCCACTCCCTTTGCTGATTTCACACTGTATGCAAACTCTGATCATTTGTCTTTAAAGTAAACGTATGCTACCATCTGAATGGTTAGACATTTTTTAAAGAAATGGATAATTCTGTTCATAGCATTGATCAAAACTGCTGTCAGAATCTAAAAATAAACATATTTCTCTAGAATAGTTCTTTAGTTTATGGATGCACAATATATTGGTACAAACATCTGATTTTACAGGGGTTTTTTTTCTGCCAGCATTGGATTTATTTGAGCATTCTCATTCCTCTATTTTTAGATTTATACTTTTTCCATCATTTGGCACTCATTAAAGCCACAAAAAAATTGAATTATTAGTAATAATTTTAACATTGTTGATTTGAAATCTCAAGCGAATCACAGAATGATTATTTTTTGATACTGCGCATTATAATGCTGTGGTCCCTAAATTTTAGTTTGCAGTGTTTTATTTTTAATTTATGTAGACAAAATTATTATTTGAATTGGAATATCGTCTATTTATTAAATATTGCCCGTAACATGAAAATTATTATCGATTAATCGATATTGAATGAGTATCGGCCAGAGGTGCGTTTCCCGTACAACGATATAACTCGCTGCTTCACTACCATAGTACGATGCATCGTTAGAGAAATCAACTAGCTAGTCACGACTGTTTCCCGAAACCCACTGTCGCAAAGTATCGTTCAACCACGTTGGTTTCGCACGTGGTGGAGTAATAACTTCTTTTAATGAAACTGTTTGAGATCCAAATTAACGCTAGATTTGTTAATATAAATTACAGACATGTCATCTGAGGACTATTTCTAATTGTTCTCAGTTATTTTGCTTTATTGCCAGACTCAATATTTGGCTCATTCTTACATAGTAGAGCACGTACGCACATGCGCACTCTTCAAAATCGGTACTTTAAATCTTTTGACAAACTAAAAGACGTAAATTACATTTGTATGTATTCTAAATAAAAGGCACCGGTTGTACTGAATGTCAGCCTGCTTATTTTGCTCAAGATAAGGATTTATTACATCCAAATGTCATGCAATATAGAAACTATGCTTGCGAATGTTCGTTGGAACGATGGTTTCGGGAAACACCGACTCGTTGAACTATGCTGATAACGACGGAACTTGCGATCATAGTTGGCTAACGATGCTTTCGGGAAACGCACCCCTGAACTGTAATGCCAGTACATCCCTGCTATTGTTGTTTTGTGAGATGAAGTCTACTCAATGCACTACTAGTCTTGAAAGAAGAAAGCACACATATTTTCTTTTAAAAGGTTATGTCCTCCTTTTCATCCCAACCTGTAGTGTACTGTGCACTTCTATCATCTGAAGCTTGTGGCATCATGGGAACTGTAGTTATTACTGATGGTCCTCACCACAGTTTTATTTAGGGTGGAAATGCAACTCTCTTTCTCCCACTTCTTCATCTTTGTGTTCACATCGGAGGAGAGCGGACTTCAGTCACACCAATGCCCAGCACAAAGGCCTAGGGCAACAGAGGATTCTGGGTCACCCAGATTCAGCGCACTGCAGCAGAAGATGCCAAAATGATGCTGACAGTGATGTTGATGTGGATGTGAAGCTGGGGGAAGAGCCTCCATCAGTATAGATTCTCTTTTTAGATTTAGTGCCTCAGAGATGCTTTAGTGATAGTTCTTGTACTCTCTCGAGACACATTAGTGGTGTTGTGTGCTGAATGCTGAACGCCTGTTTCAGTTAAATATATGGCTGAGATAAAACGTTTAAAAGAGATAACGTCACTGAGATTATGAAAAGAGTAAAAAAAAAGGTAATTGCGGCTTTATATCTCACAATTGTGACTGTCTTATTTTTTTATTTATTGTAATTGAGAGAGACTTTACTTCATGATTGTGACTCTATATCTCATAGTGTGACTTTATTTCTTATTTTACACATTATCATAGGATTACCTTTTTTTATTTTTTATTCAAAACACTTCAGACCTTTAGAAAAACAATTGTATGTATGTTTATGTAGAAAGTGTTAGTTGGTCTTAGTCTTTCTGGGCTTCAGTCCTTTTAGTTTGCACTACCACATATTTTATTTAAATGTATATATTTATTTATATATATATATATATATATATATATATATATACAGTATATATATATATATATATATATATATATATAAAATACTTAGAATCTAGAAAGTCTCTCTGCAGTGTAAATAGTTAGAGGCATTGTCTCTCTGCAACAAAATAGTTAGAGGCATTGAGCAAATAGTTTGTTAAAAGACAGAATGTTATTCCAGTTAAAAAAAGCACCCACACTAACAAACAGAGAGAACATAACCCCCCTCCTGCAATAATTGTGATCTCTCTCTGCAAAAGGCTGCTGCAGGAGGAGCAGGAGACTGATGTCACTCTGTGTGTGGGTCCTGTGTTTCGGCTGAAGGCCCACAGAGCGGTGCTGCTGGCCCGAGCTCCTCACCTCCTGCTGGGAACCGAACCAACTACACCTGTCATACACCTGCAGGGGACTGAACCTGCAGCCCTCAAGGACTTCATACAGTACATAATGGCATTTCTGTATTACTCTTCACAACCGACTTAATCAGTATTATTATTATTGCAATAAAGCTAAAGCTGTTTTAAAAATGTTTTCATAAAAATGTAAAATAAAACCATGGATCAATGTTGTACCTGTAACAAGCTATACGTGTTTGGTAAAATGTTACATGTTGCTCTTGCTATAACAGGAACGTGTACACGGCTGACAAGTGCCTGGCAAAGGAAAGTACTGCCTTAAATATACACAACGGCCATTCGCTGGTAGTGAACGGCACTGCTGAAGATGGCCCTGATGTTGACTCTCAGGTCAGCTCTGACTCAAGTAAGGACAACATTTCCAGTTACATTTTACTGATTTGTTTCTCTGCAGATCTGTGCAGAACTCGTTGTGTTCTTTACTGGAGCTGCATTAGTGCTGCTCTCTGTTTATGAGTAGTAATAGCCACATGTTCACACATTGTGGCTTTGTTACTCATCCTGCTTAACTTCTCTTTGTTTGTTAGGTTCAGAGAATTTCGAGTCAGCATCTGGGCTTGGGGCAGATCTTTTGGCTCTGTATCACAAGGCCGATATCTCTGACATCAGCATTCAGGTGGCAGATAGAGTCTTCTCGGCACACAGGTACTGTAAAATCATCATGACCAACTTTCTGCAGCTTTTGCGTAAATTTACCGATTTGCTTTGGTCTCACTTTTCTTAAATCGTTTATGTAGCAGGGTACAAAAGTTTGCTGACCATTTTGAAAATGTGGTATGTTTTTCCTTTAAACAAGGAAATAAACAGTTCTAGGATTTTGGAAAAATTAAAACTTGTGGTGTAAAATCATGAAGTGATTTTTAAAGGGATACTAACGTTTTTTTCATATTAAACTATGTTATTTCCTTAACTAAGACGAGATGATATATACCTTGTGCGTTGATAGATGACACGCGAGACATTTTGATAGCACTTAACTTAGCCCAGTTCATTTAATAGGGGCCAAGCAGAGAAGCGACCAAACACCTCCACGTTTTCCCTATTTAAATACAGTTACACGAGTAGAGTAACTCGACCAAGAATGGTGACACAAAATAAAACATTGCACTTTTCTATGCGTGTAAAGTGAATAACTATAATGTATGGCGGAATACAACAGCAAGTGATTGGGAGCACTTCGACTCGGCGCATATATATCTACTGTATGGACTCGGCGCAGTAATATCATCACTCTGGAGAGGGAGAGAGGATTTTTCACGAGTGACGATATTACTACGCCGAGTCGAAGTGCTCGCAAGCACTCGCTGTGGTATTCTGCCATACATTACGTTTTACGTTTTATTTTGTGTCACCATTCTTGGTCGATTTACACTACTCGTGTAACTGTATTTGAAGAGTTCAGATGCAAAAGCCTCTAAGTGCCATTTGAAATTTTCTTCTAGAATGATAATTTTTATCAAGCTTGTATATTTAAGTTCAGTGATTTCACTTAAATGGCAATGATAATTACCTATTAATTGTTATTTAAGTGAATTAACTGAACTTAAATATACAAGTTTGATAAAAATCATCATTAAAGGAGAAAATTTCAAATGGCATTTAGAGGCTTTTGCATCTGAACTCTTCATTTAAATACCAGTCTTAGTTAAGGGAATAACATAGTATAATATGAAAAAACAGTGGCGTGTCCCTTTAAGAATAAAAAATTCTTGCATACTAATCAAATAAGCAAATTTGTGAACATTGACCATGTCAATTTGTACAAAAGGTCAAATTTCCATTTTTACCATTGAAACACAAGATGCTTCTTGAAACATTCTCAAATTATATTGAATAACATGATCCTCAGGTTTTACCCAAAATTGTGGAGTTCATGCAGCTTGAGTTCTGCTGTCAATAAAGCAAAAGTGGGACATACCAAATAGTACTAGTACATAAAAATGTAAAATCCTGACAATTGAAATTTCCATTTACATTCCAAAAGAATGGAAATAATGCAAAATAGAAGCTTTTTTTACTGTAGTGGCTTAGATATTTGGTTTCTATTACATGGAGTTTCACTAATTCTAAAGTCCCCGTGAACCGGAAGTTGCAAACGATTTTTCTCCAGTGCTGTGACGTATTTCCAAGTGAAACAGAATATTGAACAGAGGGCAGGGTTTTACTCTAGCGCTCCTCCTCTCCATCTCTCGCTCATAGCGAACTAACGGTTTGTGGGGAGTGGTTAAGCGTTTCCCCACCCAAACTGTGAAACCTACGTCATCAGAAAAAGAAACCATTCCAGACCGGAAGTAACTTTAATATATATTTACTTGCACGGATTAATTGTTCACCACAAGACTAGTGATATGCGCTAACAAAGTAAATGGGTTCAATTTTGATTTCACGGGGACTTTAACCAGCTGTTCAACCGTGACAGTCTCTTTCTCTTTCACTATAGTCTTTCAGTTTCTCTTTTTGTGTGAAAATTCAATACACTATGGTTTTCCATTCAAACCCAGTAATAATACCACATTTTACAGATATTATTACAGCCTCAGTACTTTATGCAGAGATTCAACACCTGCATGAAGACTTTTGTCAGCAACATTTTTTATTTAATGAAAACATTAAAAAATAGATGAACAGTAAAAAAAAATATAGCTGCAAGCAGCCATTACCGGGGCCAAGCGCAAGAAGCGGCAACATATGCCAAAATGGCAAGGAGTGGCAGACCAACTGCAGCAAGGAGCAATTAAGGGCATTTTGAGAGAACTTTGGGCAAATGGCTAAGAAAATCACATAAACATTAACTTATAAGATGATTTAATGGGTTATCACTTTCGAACAATAGGTGGCGCAGTTACGAAATAGATGTGTGGTCAGAGTGAGGTGACAATGACACATGCAAAGTTTGGTGTCAAAATGTGAAGGCATTGCAGAGATAAAGCCTAAATAGTAATTTTGGCAGCATGCCTAAAATTTGATGCTGTGGTATACGAAAACGGTTTTGTCTATCATCGTGCAATTCATAACTTTTAGTCGGCACGGTCTGGAGATGATACGATTCAATTTTCGTGAAAATCGGACAAACGGTCTAGGAGGAGTTCGAAAAAGAAGGTTTTTCAAAGAAATAAAGATGGCGAACAGGAAGTTTGTCTGATTATGGAAAACCTGATATCTATGTTTTCAGCATAACCCAACGAATCTATTAAGATCAGTTTCATTGCAATAGGCAAATTTATTCAAAAGTAATTAGCGTTCTCAGAAATTAATTATAACTTTTGACCAACAGGTGGCGCTGTCTCAAAATCTTTTGAGTACCTTCAGGGCATGCTGCTTATGGCACACACTGAGTTTTGTAATATTACACTAATGCATTTGTTTAGTATAGCATTTTATTTCACAAAACTCTATTGAAGTCAATGGGAATTTCACGTTTTGTTCTATTATAGCGCCACCAAGAGGCTCAGTCCCACAATTTTTTTTATGTGTCCTCAGAGTGACCCCATACATATGTGTGTCAATTTTGGTGCAAATATCTCAATTCACTTCCGAGTTATAAACATTTATATGAAAAAACACGTAAAAAATGACTGACACATGACTTTGTTTGAATTTTACTACCCCTTACTATCAATATTTTCGCATTTGGGCATTAGCGTTTAGTTAACAAGCTATGATTCCGTGTTTCTGGCGGTGGTTTCGTCTCGATCGGAACAGCGGTTTTGAAGATATCGCCAAGTGTTTTTTTCGCGCTAAATCGCTACGCACACCAACCGTAACACGAAACCCAGCATGTTTAGTATCGTTGGACTCGGGCAACGATTCAGGAACTCAAAAAATGACTGCCGTGAAAATAAGTGTACCACACCCAAAGTTATAAGCGTTTGAAAAAAAAAAATTCACCACTAGGTGGCGCTGTTTCGAAACTTCTCAGGCTTTTTCAGGGCATCGTACTGATGACCCATACCGAGTTTCGTAACAATTCGTTCATGCGTTCAAAAAATACAGCATTTTTAGCACAAATTCAAAATGGCCGACAGCCAAAATGGCCGATCTGGGAAAATTGGATATCAGTCGACTCGGCATGATGCCCTGAATCTAACGAGATGAAGTTATGATTTTTGGACAAACCGTTCCAGAAGTTACGAGCAAAAATAGCCATTTTTCATATCTCCGGACCACTAGGTGGCACTGCGCCGAAACGCTGCACGTAGCCTCAGGTCATGCTTGTGATAACACGTACCAAGTTGGTCTGAATAGGATTAAGCGTTGCGGAGATACAGCCTTACGTCTGTTTTCGCAAGCTCTACGTAAAATTAGTTTTGCGCGTTTATCGAAAACGGTTCTTCGAATCATCTTGATTCCATAACTTTTTGTCAGCACTGCCTGGAGATGGATCCGGTGCGATTTTGGTGAAAATCGGACAAACCGTCTAGGACGAGTTCGCAAAATATAGGTTTTTTGAAAATTCAAAATGGCGGCCATTTTTTATGACGGAAAATGACGTCATAGGGTGCGATCGAATCGGCATGAGCTCAGGAACAAGAGGAAAAAATAATTTTGTTGATAGGCCTTACGGTTCAAAAGTTATTAGCATAATAAAAGTGCAACTTTGGACAGTTGGTGGCGCTAGAGGAATGAGTTAGAGACACCAAATTGGTGTATTTAAAGTTGGGACTGTCCTCTATCA